GCAACTTTTTAAGAGAATGATAAATGGGAACTTTCTTTACCTGACCTGTCATTTGTTCTGTAGACTTAATGACATTCAGTACATTATACTCACTGCCAGGGCCTTGGGGGAGGAAAAAGAATATTTATACATTGAGTTATGGCTAGATGTAGGAGGGGGAAAAAAGAGATGGGCAGGAAGTCAGACTATAGACTGGAGAAGAATTTGAGACCTTCACTACACATGGATTAATCACAAGAACTAACCACGCAAATCCAAGTGGATATTTAGAAATCAGTGAAGCCTCTAAGATGTTCTGTGGGAAATACCATACATTTTCTAATGCATGAGTATGTGCAAAATGTTATCTAATTTATAACAGAAGTGTTGACAGAACTTTAGCTTTGGTGTTGCAAATGGGCTCCATAACATATTTACATGGGAGAAACATTTCACATATATGGGCACGTATGTACCCAACCTATTTCTGTAGTTGGTGTTATATTCAATAATTTAGGTGAATGGTTATAATAAGGAATAACAAGCTGCAGTTTTTCCAATCTTACCTTAGTTCAGCTTTGGGAACTGTATTACTATTAAATTGGTCCATGAAAACCTGGCAATATTAATGCTATCAAGCATGAAACCTAACTGGATTTGGATCAGGGACCTTTATTTATAGCATTTTATTTAGAATTTATTAAAGAGGGAGCTGTGTGTCTCATGGGTTCTTAAATATTAGAGTCAGAAGTCGTGTGTTCCCTTCCAGTGGCAACAATAAAAACAAAAGCCAAAAAATTGCAGATAATTCTACATTGATTTCAATTTCCTTATTTTATCCCAAGATACTTGGTGAAGTGATAGCAAACCCTGGGAATTTTGAACCATACCATAGAAACAGTGGTTGCAGATGTGAATAAAGTCTTTATAACACAGCTCACAATTAATTAGAAGTAAAAGATGATGGCTTCATACTAACGTGGAAAAACCGTTGAGCCTTTATATTGTCGAATAAGCAAACATGTATTTAGTTTTACCTATTTGTTATTGTCATGTTACTTTTTATGCTTAAACTGCTTTCCATCTTTTTTTTTTTCATTCCTTTGGTAAAGTTGTCATTATGGCCTGTTTTTGTCCCGAAATAGTACCTGTAAATTCAGAATCAGATGGGTTTGCTATGAGTCAAAATAGCTACAACTGGAATATCATCATGGTTCATTTTCCGCCCCCCCCCGTTTTATTTGGAATTGAATTAGGAAATGAAAGTTTTTAGCCGTTTAATTCACTTCTCCATAAAGTTTATGGAGCAGCAACAGCTGGTTGAATCCATGGCAGAAAAATAACAACTTCTAGTGGCCAAGCTATTGTTTCAGAATTAAGGGGGAAAACTCATTAACTGTTAATGAAAACACTGGGAATAAAAACAAATAGCACAGAAACCCTCGCAAATAATTACCTCACACCTGACACAAAGCTGCTTTATATTTCTGCTCCAAACCTCAGAAATTCCCAACTTATTCTATGGAGCATGGATGAAATTGGGTTTGATTCTCAGGAAGGAACAATAGAGAAATCACCCCCCTTATAGGCCCCTCAGTACGATACTCAGTGGAGAACCTGCCATTGAATATACTAAGGAGTGTATCTAGCACCCAATTCTTATGACACTTAGGATAGAGGGGCAAATTACCAGCTAACAGCAGATGAACCCTTGATATAGTTTCCCCAGATCTTGTTTAGAAATACAAAGAAAAGGGACTAGAGGTAGTGGATGTGATTAATGGAGATATTGTGTGTTAGAATATATATCTGTATAGAAATATATTGATTCTGAGCAAGTTGCAATGGGAAAGTGTGTCTCTAGTGGCAAGGGGTCTTGCTTGTGAGAAAGCCACTCTAAGCAATGGAGTTCTAAGCCCTAATTGTACAGCTGCTGAATGGAAGTGTCTGTCACTATAGTTTGTGATCATTTATGTTTCATCCCACTGGACTACGGTAGCGGTGGCCTCTTGGAACTGCGATTCTCAGCTGCAGATGAATCCAGCGATCACTTGCAGTTATGTTTTAAGGAAAAATGATGTTCTAAACTTAAACAAATCCAAAATGACCACAGTAATTGCTGGTTCTCCTATAAAACTTTTCACCCATGCATCTTGAGTAGTTGTAATCATTTTAATTACACGGGAGTGTCTATTTATATAGTGTTATAGGCTTTTTTTCTGTGTGTGCCCAAGGGAGTTGGGCCACTCGATGTGACACTAAAAACACTTATAGCAACATTTCCATCATCAGGAACTAATTACGCTCGGATGTAAAACATATTTTTAAACATTTCCCCCACCACAACCATTTTTTAGTATTAACCCAGGCTCTGTTTTTGCTGCATTGAGTTGTATACCTTTATTGTTGTATACTTTACAAAGGCATGGTCTTATATTTGGCACAGGGTTGGCTGTTAAAAGCCCATCTTGGGTAACTGTGTTCAGAAACCCTAGGAAACATGCAGAAGTGACTTTTCCATCTGAAGTTGATAAATCGAATGTTAAATCCAGGCAGGTATTTTAGATGAGATTTTTAAAATGGAAACTCTAAATGCAATTAAATTGGATCCTGGAACAGAAAAAGGGCACGTGTTGTGATGAGCACTGGGTGTTATATGCAACTGATGAATCATTCAACACTACATCTAAAACTAATGATATATTATATGTTGGCTAATTGAATTTAAATTTAAAAAAAAAAAGAAAAAAACGTTAGTGGAAAAACTGGTGAAATCCAAATAAAGTCTATAGTTTCCAGTTAATAGCAGTGCACCAATGTTAATTTCTTGGTTTTGACAGAAATACCCTAGTTACATAAGAAGTTGGGGGAAATTGGATGAAGGGTGTGTGGGAACTCTCTGTACTATCTTTGTAATAATTTCAATAGATTTAAAATTATTCCAAAATAAAATGTTCATTAAAATACAACAAAACAAAGTCCCTCCTGATCAACTTTTTTTTAAAAGCCTGGAATGCTAGAACATGTAAGAGTAATTTTGTCAAATTTCTGAAGCAAGCAGAAAACCTTCAGTCTAGAATGACAGTTGATAAATAACGTTCAGTATACCTACAGATGTTAAATTTTACTTGGCAACTCAAACTACTTCTTCTTTTATTTTGTTTTTTTTTTGTTGTTTTTCTGTTTTTGGTTTTTTTTAAGATTTTATTTATTTGAGAGAGAGAGAATGAGAGAGAGAGAGAGAACACATGAGGGGGGGAGGGTCAGAGGGAGAAGCAGACTCCCCACTGAGCAGGGAGCCCGATGCGGGACTCGATCCAGGGACTCAATCCAGGGACTCCAGGATCATGACCTGAGCCGAAGGCAGTCGCTTAACGGACTGAGCCACCCAGGTGCCCCACTACTTCTTTTAAAAACAGATTTTGGTTAGGCTTATAATTTTAAAATTCCTTTAACCTCACAGCTCACTTTCAGGTTATCTGCCAGTCCATTTAGATTGTTTTGGTAATATTTCAGTGGATTTACAAATTCCACTGATGTAAAATTTGAGTAGTTCAACCCTCAGTCCAGTATTTGAGAATTTTTCTGGTTATAAGGGAAATTTCACAGCGATACTATAAGCATAACTATAATAAGCTTTGTATCCTGATCAGTAGCCTAATAAAGGAGAGGATTTGTTCTGGCTCTGGCCAAGACTGCTGTGTGAGGTTGTTGTTTGTTGTTGTTGTTGTTTCTTTTCCACAATCAAATCCATACTTTATTTCTAAAGTCCTGTATCTGCAGGTGTTCAACTCAGTTATGGACAAGCTACCTACCTCTGAGCATTCATAGAAGAGACTCTTATGATCATCTAATTTATGGAAAGAGAAGGCTACAGCCATTCCCTTTTTATCATTTTATATCCTCCCTATCCTTCCAGTTTAATTGTAGGAAATAAACCTTTAAAGTGAGGCAATACAGATTCTATGTAGGTTGTTTGGTTTCACTGCTCCCTCGTTGAAATCCAGGGCCAAAACTCTACAGTGTTTACTGAGATTAGCATTGGTGATTTCCTTTGGAAATTAGTATTTGAGATAATATTAAATTCAGTTGAAAATCCCCTTTTCATGTTTGTGAAATGAACTGAGCAGCTGTTGGTGTCCTTTTATCAGCAGACTGTACCTCTGTTTGGGGGATTTTAAGGAAAGCCATTTGCAATGCAGAGCCTTTTCTTCCGGTTTCTGAATGATCGAACATCTTCCATCTGAACCTTTTAAAGTATCATAATAGCATGGGCCACTTCTACAAAATATAATCCAATGTATGTTGAAAACACCCAAAAGGGATTAGCATTGTTTTAATTGCATAATTCAGTATTGCATATACATTACCTTTCATCAAAGCCATTTTACAGAACAAATATTACCTTCTTAGGGCTTTTAGAATTCCTAAGAGGTTGGTTGCATAGGCTGTAAACTAGAATTATAAAGAGACAACTTTCTTAAGATTGCAAAGCAAGTATGATTTAAATTGGAATAGAATCCAGCAAAGTCTAGATGCTCTCTGTTTTTAAGTCTCTTAGTTTTTAGAGAAGGAAAGAATACTGACCTGTTACACTGTATTATGTATAGGTTAACCTTTTGTGTGATTTATTCTGTTCCATTTGGAAATATAAAGAGAAACAGGCATTCGGGGTAAAGGTTGCAATTAATGGAAGACAGTATATATGAATATGTATTTATATAGCTGTGTTTTCATTTTAAGTATGATGGAGAAGTTTCTCTCTGGGTGGCAAGAGGTCTCCCCACTCTATGGTAACGGTTTCTAAGTTCTAGTTAGTTAGCTGAGTGGAAAATTTCCCATCCAGGTAAGTTTGTTCTTATTTATCTGTTTCTCGTATGTTTATGGATAGCGGCCATGTCCACCAAGTAAAAGATGTATCTTTCAGAGGAGGGCAGGGATGAGTACCAGAAGACATCTACAAAGAGCTTTATAAAGATGTCCAAAGCATGATCTTATTTTCCTTCTTTTTTGTCCCTCAGGGGGAGACCAAGCTGAAAGTTACCTTGGACAGGACAGCTCCGATGATAATCAGAGTGGAACTCACCGCCCTTCTCTCACATCCGATGCCCCTTTTTTGCCTGATTATCAGGATGAGGGTGAGTGTCATCTTCCTGGATTTTGGGTTGATCGTGCTGCTTTGTTACTTTTTGTCTTAGTGTTTTTAGCCTTTTGTCCTGTTGAACCAAGCGGACTTCAGTGGGTTTTCTGTATTGGTAATCACTAGTTTGCAAAAAAACAACTATTTGTTTCATTGTGGTGCTGATCCTTCTAGGTAATTCAATACTTCTGAAGCTAATGTATTTAGGGAAACACTAATTACATACTGGAGCAGGAAGACATCATTATTGATCTTTTTATAAGAACTGTAGCTCAAAAGCTAAGAGGACGTCTTAAGATTGCAGGGCCCAGTCCACCATCTTTCAGATTTCTTAGTTTCACAGTTGCCTGAGAATCAGAGCTTTCATTTAGTGATTATTGGATTATTGATTTATTGTGGATTATTTGAGGCCATTTAGCTCATCATATCATAATAAGATACAATTTTTACCCATGCTTCTCACATATCCCTTTCTGACCATATTAATGTTGTTCAAGGGGAAAGGGAAGCCACAAGAACCGCAATGTAAATCTTCCTAGAGCATTAATTTTACTTGAAGATTTGGGAATGGGAGGAGTTAAATAATTCAACTGATATAAACATTACTTTTATATTAAAAACACATTGGTATGTAATAGAGTGGGGTGCAAAATGTACATGAATTTTTAAGATACATGAATATAAAATTTTTGGCTTGGTGGCTGCCAGTTTCTGGCTCAGGCTCAGATATCCCAAGGGTGGGGGTTCGCTGTGTCTCTTCTGGCATCTGGCCACTGGAACAGACGGTTTGATCATCACTGATGCACACGGTTATCTTACCAAAGTCTCTCTTGTGCCTTTTCGGTGGGGGAAAAAGGTAGACATGCTACTAAACTGAATATTAAATTGGAAGCATATTATTCACTTAGGGATTGGGAGTAGAGTTGGTAAACTCTTTCTTATTTCTCTTTATTAGTCTGTAATCTTTCAATTTATTTTTCTTTCAAATTTCCCTATGACTTTGGCATTTTCCAGGAGTTCATAATCCCTAATTCCTTTCTCTTTTTAACTTATCCACAAATTCTTTTTTTTCTTAAGTTTTTATTTAAATTCCAGTTAGTTAGCATAGAGTGTAATATTAGTTCACTCGTCTGTTAATTCTTATTTCATTTAGCCCTTTTGGCAATTCAGATTTTCTCCCTTTCATTGAATTAATAACCTCCACTTCAGAACTATGGATTCCATCATACAGAAACATTTTATTTTGCTTGAGCTTTTTTAGAAATTGGGCCTTGTAATTTAGGATCTGTATATTGATTCAAATGTACACTAAAAAATTGTTTGGATTGCAAGCTTAATAATTACACTGGTAGTTTATTAATAATTTTAGAAAATTAACAGTGCAAAACCAACCTTTCATTTGTTTTTGATTAATCCAGTGCCTGACAGAATTAGAACAATAGTACCTCATTAATCCATAGGTCACTTTTTTGGTATTTCCAACTTTCCCAGACACCACTGAGAACACAGTAAGTAAGCCAGAAGGACCTCTAAGTGGAAATGGATGTTCCTGAGTGCTGTGTTAACACTTCCATACCATATTCTTGGGAAAGCCCCTGAGGCCTTCACTGGAGATTCCTCTTTTTACACATTTCTAACCATTACAGTTGTTTGATTTCTCAAACCCATAATAGGATGAAACATCACATTTAGAAGAGGCATTTTAGAGGCATCAATTAACAAATAATATTGAGGTGGGAAACAGGAAAACAACTAAAAATTTATGCAGAAAACAAAATAAAATTTATATGGGAACTCAAAAACAGCATTCTGGTGCCATATCATATTGTAGAGAGAAACTAAGAGCTCAGTACCTTTAATAAAGTAAAACTTCTCGGCTAGCATTTATTAAGCACTTACTATGTACCTTGCATCTGTTCTAAGTATTTTGCATCTATCATCATTTAATACTGAGAATAGCCCTAAGAGGTAAATAGTAAGATTATCCTCATATTACAGGGTATTATGCTTAGTGAAATAAGTCAATCAGAGAAAGACATGTATCATATGACCTCACTGATATGAGGAATTCTTAATCTCAGGAAACAAACTGAGTGTTACTGGAGTGGTTGGGGGTGGGAGGGATGGGGTGGCTGGGTGATAGACATTGGGGAGGGTATGTGCTACGGTGAGCGCTGTGAATTGTGCAAGACTGTTGAATCACAGATCTGTACTTCTGAAACAAATAACGCAACATATTTTAAGAAAAAAGAAAAAGAAGAAGATAGCAGGAGAGGAAGAATGAAGGGGAGTAAGTCAGAGGGGGAGACGAACCATGAGAGATGATGGACTCTGAAAAACAAACTGAGGGTTCTAGAGGGGAGGAGGGTAGGGGGATGGGTTAGCCTGGTGATGGGTATTAAAGAGGGCACATTCTGCATGGAGCACTGGGTGTTATGAACAAACAATGAATCATGGAACACTACATCAAAAACTAATGATGTAATATATGGTGATTAACATAACAATAAAAAATTTTAAAAAAGATTATCCTCATATTACAGAGAAGGAAACAGAGACCCAGGGAAGTTAACTTATTTAGGATTACACAGCTAGTAAGCAGTAGTGCCAGGATTTATAACTATGTAGTCTAGTTCTGGAACCTCTGCTCTTAACCACCCTACTGTCTTTACCACTATCCTTATCTGGATTATCAAAAAAGATGGACTCATGTTCCATACATTTTGGTTAAGACTGTACAGATACATAGTTTGCTTAAAAGTATTTTCATTAAAAAGAGTTTAAATTTAAAAAAATATATAGTGTTGAAAGAGGTAAGCCTAGTATCTGGAAAATTCCAAGGTGGAAACTTTGCTCCATTATGGTTCCTCGTAAGAGAGGAGCTAACTAGATTAGTAATATTAAATTCTTACTTCATAGCTTTTAATTTTTAGTTTCATGTATAAAAGTTAAGAGAATTCTCAAAGTGAAACAGTCAGTGATAGAGGTAGGAATAGATTGTTGATGTGTTAAAAATTTGATTTTAGGATGATGTTTATTTTTACGAAGTGTTTTATTTGTTTATTTTATTTAAAATTTCAATTTTTAAGTTTTAATTTAAATTCCAGTTAGTTAACATGCACTATAATATTAGTTTCAGGTGTAGAATATAGTGGTTCAACACTTCCATACAACACCCATTGCTCATCACGACAGGTGCACTCCTTAGTCCCCTTCACCTACTTTACACATGCCCGTAGCCACTTCCCCTCTGGTAATCATCAGTTTTGTTTTCTATAGGTAAGAGTCTGTATCTTGGTTTGCCTCTCTCTCTCTCTCTCTCTTTTTCTTGCCATGTGCAATGACATGGATGGAGCTAGAGAGTATTATGCTAAGCAAAATAAGTCAGTCAGAAAAAGACAAGTACCATATGATTTCACTCATATGTGGAATTTAAGAAACAAGCAAGAGGGAAAAAAAGAAAAAGAGATAATGTTTAAATATGAGTTTCTGCAAAGCATTGAAACTAGCACAATACCGGAGTGCCTGATGCACAGTGGGTATGATAAATGTTTGTTTCCTTCCCCTAAAAAGTAATGATATATACATTTCTTGTGCAATTAAGGAGAAAGTTATAAAGATGTTAAAATTTTCAGTAGACTTTCTATTCTGTTTAACTAGATTTTACCATTATTGAGAACAGTAACACTTCTTATGTTACTTATTCATTATTTTAACAAATACTTATTTAGAGATTACAAGGTAGTAGCAAGGCACTGTGCTAAGCAGTAGGTGAAATGTGCAGTAAAAAATCAGACACAGTCCCTGTCCTCATGGAGCTTACCATCTCATTGCAAAAACACACGATTAGTAAGGAGACAAATGAACAAATATAAAGTCAATGTCTTCACGTGCTGGTGGGATAGCTAAGGTGATCCTTTAGGAAGAAAAGATATTCTTTAACTTTTCTTTGTAGTGACAGTTATTTTAGACTTTTGGAATTTTATCTTTATTAGAAAATGAAAGATTACTGTTCAAATATTTCAGCATTGTTGCATTCCCCCTCCAGCCACAACAGTGTCCTAAATGTACAGTTATAGAAGGACACACGGTCTGATGCATCCACCCATAACTTCAGTGTAAGAAGCAATAACCACAGTGCGTGTCGTGTTTGGATCATGCTTTTGTGAAGACTACAAAGAGCTCTAGAAGCATATAGAAGCCCGGCCAGGTGCACAGCAAAAAATGAACACCAAGGTTACAGGCTAAACCATGCATAAAAATGAGAGCATGTCGCTACCTAATCCCAATTTCTTCTCCTTTTGCTTTGCAAATGTTCTCAGTCTGAGAACAGCAGGCTATACCCTGTGGAGAGAGACCCACAAGCAAGAGCATAGCCCCACTGTGGGGAATGAAAACTGGCTAACAAGTAATAACATTTAGATTTCTAAACCCAAGGAGGCATAGTTTCAACCATAGTAAAGGAAAAAAAGTTCGGCATGAAACACTGGATACAATTACTGTACAAAAGCCAGCCAACTATGCTGCTCAAGCTCTGATTGCTTTCATTGTTCAAAATATACAATGGATTTTAATGTGTTTATAAACTTATCTCATTAATGTACATTTTTATTTTTTTAAAGATTTTATTTATTCAGGGGCGCCTGGGTGGCTCAGTCGTTAAGCGTCTGCCTTCGGCTCAGGTCATGATCCTGGGGTCCTGGGATCGAGCCCCACATCGGGCTCCCTGCTCAGCGGGGAGTCTGCTTCTCCCTCTCCCACTCTCCCTGCTTGTGTTCCCTCTATTGCTGTCTCTTTCTGTCAAAATAAATACAATTAAAAAAAGATTTTATTTATTCATTTGAGACAGAGAGATACAGAGAGAGAGAGAGAGAGAGAGCATGAGCAGGGGAGAGGCAGAGGGAAAGGGAGAAGCAGGCTCCCAGCCGAGCCAGAAGCCAGACTTGGGGCTCTGTCCTAGAACCCTGGGATCATGACCTGAGCTGAAGGCAGACGCTT